AGGTGACAGGGGTGGCTCAGAGGGACCTCCCTGGAGCACTGCCCTGAAAGGGAAAGGAGGACTTGCCAGCCAGAGATTCTGAGGTTCAGTGTGCAAGAAGGGGGTATATCTGTCTCAAGTCCTGGCCTCTTCTATGGAATCTCCCTCTCCTCTCTTGCAGGTGGTGGCTGGCGAACATTTGCTAGCAGAGTGGTTTCCTGTGTGGAATCACTACTCAAAGGAAGTTGGGAGGGAGGGGCTCCACTTCCAGTTTCCTAGTCCTTTCTATCCTTATTTCTAGATGAAGCCGAAGAAACCACAGGCTGCCAAACCGAAAGCAGGCCTCTCCCTTGCCACCCAGGTTCTGTTCCTTCCGTGGACACATGGCATCCCGAGATGGCAGCTTATCCACGTGAAGATGGCTGTCGGCACTCTCTCTGGACTACTGATCCTGCTGCAGTGGGCAGTCCCCAGGGCTCACTTCCTCTTGAGGAATATCTGGGGCCAACCCGTTAGCTTCTGCCTCAGGCCATGGCTGACTGTAAGTGGGTCCTAAGTGGGGAAGGGACAGGTAGAGGAAGGGGAGCCCACAAGCGCTCAGGGCAGGGTGCACACTCTGGCTCGGGTCCCTGCAGCTATTGGCCCGACCCAGCCTGCTCAGCACGTGGAGAGGTGCTGCATCTCGCCTTTTCTTGAAAGGCTGCTTGAAGTCTCTGGTTTTCATTTGATACAAAGCAGATGGAGTTCCTGGGAGAGGAAAACCATGCATGTGGCCTGGACAGCAGAGGCGTGTGGGTCTCACCTTTGTTTTTGGTGTTTCGGTTGTTGTGTCTACCAAAAGAACCCGACTACTTCAGTTATTGAGGACTGCATACTTGATGGGGGAGGGAAAAGGGGAGGGGGAGAAGATGGCTCTGCCACCCAGTGAACTGGCAAGTATGGTGGGTGGTGGATGGCAGGAAGAGCCCCTTCAGCTGGTAGGTGGTAGGTGTCAGCTGGTGAGTGGTGGGTGGTAGGAAGGGCCCCTCCCACCCAGAGGGGTTTTTCCCAGGCTTGATGCGTGGGTCACTTCCTCTTGGCTTCTGAGCCAGGTTACAAGAGCTGGTGCCACATACGTACAGGTGGTCTGGGCAGTTCTGAGTGCCTCAGAGACCCCAATATAGTGGTCCTGGATGGGAAAGTGGAATTCCTGAAGAAGGTATGTCACCAAATAAATACATAAAATTGAATGTCAAAAAAAAAAAGAAGAAAATGTGTCACCAGTGGGTCTGCCGAGAAAAGACCTGGATGGTGGAGGAGCAACCCCCCAACCCACCTGGCACTTGTGCTTCAGTGGAAGGGAAAGACCCTGGTGCTGGAGATGGACTTATGTGTGGCCCTGAGTGAGTTGATGGAGGGATGGCGGCCATTTTATCTGATCTGGCTTGGCGTAGGGGCACCAGGCCATAGGACCCCCTGCAGAGAAGAGCCCGGTTGGATACACCACCACCCAGAACTCTCCGGGACTTGAAGTGATGCTCTATTTAGGTGTCCATGAGGAAGGAAGGGGTTCATGCCCCTACCCTGCAGGGTGGCTCTCTCCTTCCCCAACCAGTAAACACTCAGTAAGCACCCACTCTCTGCCACACAGCTGGGCACTGAGAATCCAGAAGGGTTTAAACCAGTCCCCACGCTCTGGATCCCAGAGTCTCAAAGGGAAGATAGAGAAATGAATACATAATTTCAGCCCAGGTAAGAAGTGCGACAATCAAAATATGAACAAGGTATCGAGGAAGCCTGGGTTGAGACTTGGAGCTGCTGGGCTCTGCTGGACTCAGAAGCCACCTCAACTGCAGTCCCAAGTGGCACAAAGGACCAACCAGGGATCTTAGAGCAACAACTCCAAGCCAATGGTCAGTAACCCAGCAACAGGATTCTGGGAAAAGAAACAGAACTCCCAGGCAGAAGTGGAAGTGAGATTTGAAACACAAGCTGGAGGAACTGGTCCTGGTCCCAGAGGACCCAGCAGCTTTGAGTCAGACTCCAAATGCCCCATGGGTCGGGGCTCCCGGGGCAGGACGGGGCCACTGCCACCTCGGGGTGTGAGCCTAGACTACCTTCTTCGTGTATTCCAGACACAGATACAAAACACCCCCTGCCTCACATGGCTCCCCGGCAGCTGGCCAGAGCGTGCCATCTACTGCAAAGAGTGACCAAAAGTCCATGTGTGGCGCTCCTGTGTAAGAGGGGACTGTGGTTAGGACGGTGGCAGCCTGCAAGAAAGAGAGCCCAGTAGCCAGCCCCTGAGGGGGACTAATAAGAAAGATGACCCTTGACCTGGTGGAGTCAGTCCTTCATCTTCAGCTGTGTGAAGTGAAACTAACTACGTGGTCCTGGGCTTAGGGGAGAAGTGACATTCAGAATGCCCAAGAACTGTCCCCCCGGAAGGTCAAGGTCCAAGGCATACCAGGACAGAGAGATTCTTCCTTAGACCCAGCCCCAGGCACTGAAGAAAGAAAACCAGCCCCAAAGTGATTCATTCACCTTTACATGGTTCGCAGAGGCAGACAAACATTCTACTTTAGAAGAGAAGGATTAAGGACAGAGAGACAGATACACTGGCTTAGGGTCACACAGCAAGTTGGTGCCAGAAAGAACCTGGGCTTCTTGTCCTTCGTTGTGCTATTTCTAGAGTCACTGACTTTTTATGAGCCTAAAGAGAGCCAACAAGGGGCTCTGCTCTAATTTGGGGTGGTGCCAGCTTGGCTAGCCAGGTCCTCTGACCTTCAATGACGCATTTTTGCCAAAGCAAATGGGTCAACGGAGCCAAATTCTCTCCCTGTCTACGACCTCCCAAAGCCATCTGTCTGGGAGAGGGAAGGGTGGGGTGGGGGGGAAGACCAAGAAAACATCCACAACCACAAGGCAACAGATGCACCCAGCTGTTGTCCCTGGGAGCTCTGATACGGGAGGTGCCAGAGGCTCCAAAGGAGAACGCAATGTCTCGGCTGATGGAAGAAGTCAGAGGGAGCACCCGAGGTCCCTGGGATGCCAGCGCTGGCTCTGAGTCCTCCACGCTGCCGTGCCACTGGCTGGCGCTCTCAGGGAGCAGGGTTCACTGGGACTTGGCCTTTAGGTGAGGAGTTCCTCCTAGCACATTCCCCACCCTGGGCAGAGTGTGCGGAGGGATTTTCTTCGGTTCTTCCCTAACCTCCAGCTGAAGCAGAACCTAGGCCACGGGGACATGGATGGACTGGTTAACACCGCCACCAACCCAGCTACAGTAGCAGCCACGTGAGCCAAGGACTTCCCCCAGACACCGTGTGGTTGTGTGGAAAAATCACCAGACCGTGCCTGTTAACCAGCTGCTGGACCACGGACAAAATGGTTCCTGTCCGTCTGCTTTAGCTTTCTCACACAGAAAACACGAGTGCTGGGCGAGATGCCTCTTCATGCTCTCCAGGGTAGTGGTGGCTCCGTGGTAGAATTCTTGCCTTTCAAGAGAGAGCCTGGGGTTCGATTCCCAGACAATGCACCTTATGCACAGCCAACCCCCATCTGTCAGCAGAGGTGTGCATGCTGTACGTGTAAGACAGAGGAAGAAAGGCCTGGCGATCTATTTCTGAAAACCCTGTGGTCATAATTATCAGTCTAATAAGCAACTGATCGCGGGGATGGTGCAGGGCCCAGGGGCGCTTTGGTCCTTTGCACATGGGGTCGCTAGGAGTCGGGAGGTATTTTGATGGCAGCTAACAACAAAATTCCTTCCAGTTTTGAAACTGAGAATTTGCTAGGAGCCCAAACTTCCTTTTTCCCCAGAGTACGATGGCTGAGAGTGAGCTGTCACCACCCTCCAACATTTCCCTCATTTGTCCCAACAGGCTAGCACTTCTGCTCTTTGTGTGTGTACTTCACACCCGGCCTCGGGAAACCTTTCCAGCAACGGGCTTAGATGTCTGCTGTGCTCCCCCTCCCAGGAAGCATATTTTAGACTCACAGGCCCTCCCTCCTGCAGGCCTCAACTTTAGGTCTCAGGCAGAGGGGGACAGCAGCTCTGGCTGTGGTAGGAGACGGAAGAGACAAGGAGGATGGGGGAAGGACCCCCCTTTTGTTCTCAAACCCCAAGGGGGGAGACTGTGGAATCTCTAGAAGGGAGAGAGAACTGAGCTAGCTTTTTTTCATGCTTTGCTCTGGCCTCTGAATTCTAACCTCCAGCAGAGTTTTTCTGCCATTCCTATCACAATGGGCTTGATTTTGGGAGGGGACACAGGCCTACAGAAGTGAGCATATTTGCTCAGGTCAGTCAACAATCAACGGCAGGGTGGGGATGAGAATCCACGTCTTCCCAGTCCCACTTTTCCATCCCCCCACACAAGATTCAGAAAGGACCCCTGGCTTTTGCACGGGAACACAGGGTCCTATTTCAAGAAGCTGAAGATGGTCAGGCCCCAGGGGACAGAGTCTGGTCCTGAGGAAGGTGGGGCAAAGTTTGGGGCAGGGGTAAGGGAGACATCTGCTCCAGGAAGCCATTTCGGTCCCTTCTCCAGCCTTTGGCGAGGCGGGGAGCGCACAGGCTGCAAAAAGCGAGACCCGAAGCCCCCGGACCCATCCTCTGCGGGAAGGTGGTGGGGTGGAGGTTTGGGTCCCCCCCACCCTTCCTTGGTTCCCAGCAGCGCCTCCCAACCGCAGGCCTGAAACTCCCCCCATCATGAACTGAACGTGTTCGCGCGTCTGCCTTGGGTCGGCAGAAAAACATGTCCCCTTCGTAAACCCACCTTTCTGGCCTCATCCGAGGGCCAGAGAATGCCCGTAAGTCTTCACTGAATCCACCTGCATCCCCCCTCAGCGCCTCCTCCAGACACGGTGACACGCTGGTGTCCCCTTCCCCAACCATAAATTACCCCAAAGTGTTGTCAGCCCGGAAAACTAGGCACGCCGAGGACCGGCACCCCGGGACGCGCCCCCCGCAGCTCGCAGAGGACAGCCCCCTGCCCCCTCGGGGAAGCCGCGCCGCCCGGGTGACCCCGACCCCCAGGGCTCACCCAGAAGAGCATGTTGAAGAAGAAGAGCAAGTATTTCACCAGCGGGCTGACGAAGGAGAACTCCTCGCCGTAGGCGGCTGCAGCGCTGGGTCTCCGGGCCATGGCCCCGCCGCCGCCGCCCCCGGGGGCCTAGCTCCCAGCGGCGCCTGCCCACCTGCGCGCCCCTCGCCCGGGGGC